TTCCAACGGTTTATCGACGCTTTCTATGGCGTAGCAACAATGTCTCTCGGTAATTAGAAAATAGGAAAAAACTTTTAAGAACTTATATGTACTGACGGACTTTCAATATGACATGATTGTTGATTTTTAATGAATAAGAAATTGTAGCAGTCAGTTTTGGTTTCTTATTATCGATGACTAAAACCGTTGTTTAAAGTTATACCTTGGCGTCTGTCAACCGTCAACAATAACCAACGGATTGATAGTCATTAAATGGGAACATGCGTCATTTTTTGTTGCAGTAAAGTCTGTTAGGCGTCAGAATTATATCAGAAGAGGCAAATGTTGATAAGCTGGAGAATCTACCAGTTTTTTGTCCCAACAAAAACAGTTGAACTCACTTTAATTATTTGTCGGTATTATAACTGATGACTATTACCGTCAAATAGCACGACAACTGCTTGATATAATATTGAAAGGCACACAGTAAGTCGTCGAAAAGCTGTAGCATCAGAAAAAAAAAATCTTTTATTTGATGGTTACGATTTTCACACTTGCAATCGATGCACATAAAAATACATTAAATACTTTGCAGTTTAATCAATCCAAACATTTGCAGGACTAATATCAAGATAATTAACTTTCAAATTTAACAAATAATTAAATAAAGTGCATTTAATTAAAAAAATTTACATAACCATTCAATAAAATAATATTTGCTTTAATGTTTAAAAAAACATATACAAATGCAAAGAAAACCAATGTTGATCATCCTCCGTCTCCTCATCATCCTCCTCCTTATCCAATTGATGCTTCTCTTGTTGCTTTGCCCGATGTCGACACGCATCTTACTTCGCCTTCTACTTAGCCACCGTATTGGCCTCGAGCCCTGACCTCATCTAGGCAAATCGAGTCTCCATATCTGTGGTGAATGTAGAACTCACCTAGAAACCTCCTCTTTTTGTATGGTACAAGTAGATGTCTTGAATATATTAGTGGAAGAGTGAGTGTCGTGGGTGAATGTTTGTGACTGGAGCCCGTAGACTCAACTCTTCTTCTTGCCTTCAACATTCTCTTTCGATAGGTCATATTTGGACGGATCACGATCTCGGACCTTAATACCGCATGATTGCTAGGAATCGCTCTCCTTCAACTTCTAGAAAAAAGCATAAACGAATGTAAAGAAAACCTCTGTTAATCATCTTTCGTCTCCTCGTCACCATTGTCCTCCTCATCCAATTGAAGCTTCTTCCATTGCTTCGCCCGATGCCAACACACATCTAACTTTGCCTTCAACTTGGCCTCCATATTTGCCTCCAGCTTTGACCTCATCTGGGTGAATCAAGTCTCCATATCAGTTGTGATGCAGCAACCCGCCTAGCAACCTCCTCCTCCTGTATGTAGATGTAATTGTTTGGGATGCACTGGTGGAGAGGTGAGTGTCATAGACAAATGCCTGAGACCTGAGCCTGTAGACTCAACTCTTCTTCTTGCCTCCAACAACCTCCTTCAATTGGTAGTAATCAGACGGATCACGATCTTGAAACTTAATAACAACCGACTGTTGGGATCAGCTCACCTTCACCTTATATAAGTGTTTACAATAAGCACAAGATAATGAAGAACACAGTACTTAGTATTTTCCTCTGAAAGAAATATGAAAATTCCCCCAACAAAGTCTCATGCTAATCCATGTAATGCTAATACAACCCCTTACAAATATCTCTCAAAATTCTCTTTCTAATCTATCAAGAAAATTTAGAAATCTACATTTTCTACTGCTATCTACGACCTCTCGGCTTTACTAAAAAATTTTAGTGGGGGAAATATGTTGAAAAGTCCCCTTAATATATCCCTCTAAATCCCTCAAGAGTCACTTCAAATGTCACTTCAAAATTCATCCAAATACATTGTATTTTAAAAAAAAAATAAAAACAATTATGGCGCTTGGGTGCTAGATCCTGGCATCGAGGTGCCAGTCTTCTAGAAGCCTGAAATAACTGTCCGACTTCTAGGCGCTAGAAGCCGACGCCTAGGCATCGCTTCACTTTATGCTCCTTTGCTCTATTTGACCCCATTTTGCTCTTTTGTCCGTTTTGCTCTGTTTTCTCTCTTGTTCTCCACAACTCCATCGCTTGTACCTGAAACAAAAAAAACATGCAAAATGTTTTCTACTAAAGTGCAATATCATAAAAAATGAGCATAATATGTATATATAAAGTAGCACATTTTTAGGCGTGTCTCCCATTCCGAAGAACGTATAAGGTCTAACATCTCATCATGAACCTCTCAAACAAACCAAATAAAAAAAAATAAAAGAAAATAAAAACAAAAAAACACTTAAAACATCGTAAAAAACCCAAAACAATCATAATCAATGTACAGAGAATAGAAATAAATATGAACTACATAAAATAAACAAATTGAAATTGATAAAAGAAGTAATTAATTATATTTTTGAGTAGATGTGAGGTCTCAGAAAACTCAGTACACCAACCAACAAATTTATGACTACAAGAACACAACAGACCTTATAAAAAAGGGTTATTGGTTGCATTTAACCCGTGTAATATCGAGCTCATGCGTGTCATATATGCATATCATCAAAAAATGTCATCCACAACACAACCAAAGCCACCACTCAACCCACAACATAGCCACCACAACCCACAACACTGTAAGACCCACAACCACCCAACTACACCACCACACACATCCCACGACCACCACACCACATGCACAGCCCCCAATCACCCAACCCTCAGCATAACCACCACAACCCACAATACAGTCACAACAACCCACAACAAAACCACCTAGCCAAAGACCACCATACCACAACCACTCAAACACACTTCCACACATATCCCACAGCCACCACCCCACAAGACATAACACCACAATCACCCAACCCACAACAACCAAACCACAACCATCCATAAACACCTCCACACACTTCCCACAGCCATCACACCACAGTGGCACAACTCCGCAACAACCTAACCCACAACAAAACCACCACATCCCACAACACAATCATTGTTTTTTAGTGTCTTACATGTAGTTTGAAGAAAACATTGCCCTCTACAAACCAAGCATTATATTTCATCCATTCTTCAAATTCTCACTCAAACATGAAAGATAGTGATAAAACCCCATCCAATATTTGCCATTTTAGGAGATTACACACTGGGCACCCAAAACGTTGTTATCTATAAATTAAGCACCTGTTTTCATCCATTTTCAAATTCTCGCTCAAACATCAAATCCATAATTTTGAATTGATGCAATTACATACAAGGCACTTGATACAATGCTATGTACAAATCAAGCACCCTATGTCATCGTTTTTCAAATTCTTACTCAAACACCAGAGGAAGTAATAAAACCTCATCCTATATTTTTCATTGGAGGCAATTACGTACAGGGCACCTGAAACGTTACTATCAACAAATTAAGCACCCTCTTGGATTGATTTTTCAAATTCTCGCTCAAACAACATTAAAAAAAAACTGTAGGTAATGTTGAATTGAGATAATTACATACAGGGCACCTAAAACAATGTTATGCACAAATCAAGCGCCCTATTTCATCTGTTTTTCAAATTGTCATTCAAACATCAAACGAAGCGATAAAACCCCATCCCATATTTTCATTTGAGACAATTACAAAGACATCACTCGAAGCGTTGCCATCTACAAATTAAACACTCTATTTCATCCATTTTCCAAATTCTTGCTAAAAGAAAATTTAAAAAAAACCATATGTACTTTTGAGAAGACAAGAAGCAATGCTATGTACAAGTCAAGGACCCTATTTCATCCAATTTTCAAATTCCCTCTCAAAAATAAGTGGAGGCAATGATAGAAAGTCATCCCATATTCAACATTTCATCCGGTTACATACAAGGCACCGAAACATTGCTATCAACAAATCAAGCACACTTTTTCATCCATTCCCCAAATTCCCACTCAAAAAATAAGTGAATATAAAAACTCCATTCCACATTTTTCATTATTTATTTATTTATTTATTTATTTGCAAGATTCAAATCACAAATCACAAATCACAAATCACAAATAGCAAATATCATCTCACAATAAACTACGATTGAGAAAGCCAAAAATCGCATAAAAAAATCATTCCATCGAAAATTACCAAAAAAATTACTTACAGAGCATAGTAGCCAGAGATCAGAGGGAGAAGAAAAAGGAGAAAAACAAAGCGAAGTACAGGAGAGACGCGCGAGAGGGAGAGAAGTGCGACAGAGATATACCTAGGGTTCGTGAGAGCGATCAAGAGAGGTAGACACCAAAGGCAGATGAGACGTGAGGGGTAGCGCGGGGGTCGAGAGGGGCAGCGGGATAAAACATACGCGAAGGAACACATACATACCACAGGGCCGAACCAGCAACCGCATTCAACACACTTTTTTATTGAATTATTATGCAGAGATCAGAGGGAGAAGAAAAAGGAGAAAAACAAAGCGAAGTACAGGAGAGACGCGCGAGAGGGAGAGAAGTGCGACAGAGATATACCTAGGGTTCGTGAGAGCGATCAAGAGAGGTAGACACCAAAGGCAGATGAGACGTGAGGGGTAGCGCGGGGGTCGAGAGGGGCAGCGGGATAAAACATACACGAAGGAACACATACATACCACAGGGCCGAACCCGCAATCGCATTCAACACACTTTTTTATTGAATTATTATGATAATCTGCATCGCCGCAGTAACCAGCGTTTCAAACTCACATGCAGCCAAACAACCCTTCAAGGGATTTCACTTCCACCTTTCTGGATCCACCTATCTCATACCGATGTTATGGGAGCAGGCTTGGCATCCCTGAAAAAAAAAAAGAAAAAAAACAACGAAGACAATTTCGCTATATTTGATTACAGTTTTCTGACCCTTGTAGCATTGATAATGGGTTATGTATATAGGATAAACACACTAACAAATAGGGTTATTTATACGACAGAAAAATAAACATCAAATAAGCAGAGATAGTATCATATGCGGAATGAGGACAAAATCGGACATGTTTATTACAATACTGCTTAGACCCAAAGAAACAAAATACAAACAATAAAATCATAAACAACGACTTTTATGATAAATGTTCCAAGGCCTTTCAATGTGATTATAGCCTCTAAAAATATCTGTACAAAAGTCGTGATGCAGTTCAATAATCAAGGCCTGGGCCAGCCAATAACAGCTAGAATGACTCCTAAAATGTTGTTAGTGAGAAGAGCTCTTAGAAAATTCTGTTTCTGACGAGTATAAGGAGGATATCTTGCAGAAACTTCCCCACCAAAGCTCCGGTGTAGAACAGCCTTTTTGTGACTGAAGGCATCAAATGAAAATTTGCCATGATATGCACCAATTCCACTCTCTCCTACCCCACCGAAGGGCAAATTAGGATTTGCAAACTGCAGTAAATGAAGCTCAAATTGGCTTGGTTTTTGCTAATAAGTAGAAAGGAGCATCAAAACAGGAAACTGCTATGAATTATGATTGGATGTGTGGAGAGATTACATGCATCATTGTATCATTAATAAGCAAACCGCCAGCAGACACGGTTTTCACAAAATTTTCTTCCAATTTCTTGTTCTTCGTGAAGAGGTATGCACCGAGCGGTTTCGGCTTTGAGTTTATCATATCAATACTCTCTTCTATATTGTCAACCTAAGCAATATCAATAGTGAAATCTCTTCAGCAAATCAATTGGAGAGTTTTTCAGTTTCTCAGACACACTAGGACTTTCAAAATATGAATTTTGTCAATATCTTCATAATGGGAAGAAGAACAGTTTGATATGATCTTACAGTAACAATAGGAAGCAAGGGACCAAAGATCTCCTCCTGCATTATTAAAGAGTCATCTGGAACATCTAATATGAGAGTGGGAGCAATCTTTCTGTTATGTAAAAAAAATATGTGAATGGGTTGAGACATAATCAGAAGAAATGAACACCAAAAATTTAAAAGGAAACAAAAATCATACAGAAGCTTCTCATCCCTCTCTCCTCCATGAATGATCTTTCCGGAAATTTTCTCATCATCTAAGAGCCTTAATATGCGTGCAAAGTGATGCGAATTCACAATGCGAGATAGATCCTTAGACTGCATATGATTCTCCCCATAAAACGACTTGAGAGAATTTTTTAGCGTGTCCACCTATTAAATGGGAAAATCAATGTAAGAAAACAGCAACAAAAGAGCTTCATCCAGAAACGAGCAATTGCGGTTTATTTCTAAAAAATTTAAGATCATTTTAAGTTTGATCTATATAAATTTGAAGTACTAAATTTTTATTTTATTTTTGTGAAAATTTTAAATAGATGCTACACAATTCTTATGTATTTACATATCTAGCAACAAAATTTTGATATTTACATTTATAACACATTAGAGTTAAGAAGCATGAAAATGTGTATTTCACTTTGAAAAAGTTAGTAATAGTGATAATTTTTGTAAGATGTTGTCAAATATTTGAGTGTTATGCATGTAAATATGAAAGTTTAGTTGTTAGATCAGTAAATATATGAGAAATGTGTGGTATGCATCTCAAGGGCCTTGTTTTGGGATTATTTTTTTCTGTAAGATATAATTCGTACTATACAAAATGAAAACACCTAATCTGGGGAAGAACCCACCAGTTGTGGAGCAAAAGTTTTTGTTGTTATGATATAATCTGGTGCGATGCAAGCCTGACCGTTATTAGACCCCCATTTGCCCACAACAAGTCTTTTTGATGTAACCTGAAGAAAAAATTTGAAAAGCGAATCTCAGTAAAACAGATCAATAAAAGGTATGGTTTTGTTATGAACATTTTGAAGTTTACTTTTAGGTCAACGTTGGAATCCACAACTACAGGACATTTTCCACCAAGTTCCAAAACTACAGGAGTTAAATGCTTTGCAGCTGCCGCCATAATAATGCGCCCAACTTTAGCATTTCCTGAAATTTTAGAGAAACAAAAACGAGGGAAAGCTGAAATAAGTGAAAAAATAGAGGAAAAATTTACGATCAGTCAACCGCTTCAGCATACTAAAATTAATGTCGGGTTTTTAAATCATCTATTGCGTGCACTGGAATTTAACCACAGTTCAAAGAAGAGATTTTGAGTTTTTCAGAATTTTAAGTCTTTCAATTTACCTTGAAATTTATAAAAGGTTTGATGATGATGTTTATGAATTATTGAATGGTTTTAGTCGGTGGCACTCGTTAGAATTTGAGAAATTATAATTGTAGTTATCCAAAATGATACCACAGTCAACTCCACAGGGATGACAAAAGAACCTGGCCATCAATTGTGTGAAACAAAAAAAAATCGTAGGTTTTGTGTGTTCATCTTTTTTCCTTTGTTTTTGTTATTTCATTTCTCTATTTTGATTAACGTTTAGCTTATCTTAGCTTATCCCCAACACTTGGATATATTCCTGACATAAAGATAAATCGAAGCTAATTTCTTGCACCTTATCAAAATCCATGAAAAATTTTCCATACAGAGTCCGCGTTCGGACCCTAATAAAATCTTGTCACGTGTATCTGATTGGGCCCACCTAAAAAATGACAAAAAGACGCCAATAGCACCCTAATAACATCGCAGTGTTATTTGAGTGGCCCTACGGGCGGTGTTATTGGCGTTGTTCAAGTGTGTTATTACAGTATTATTATGATGTTATTGAAGTTATTTTGCGGGAGTTATTGCGGTGTTACCGTAATGTTAATTGCGTAGTCCTCTGGACGGTGTTATTGGCGTTGATCACCGGTGTTATTACGGTGTTATTCGAGTTGTTTTGTGGGGTTATTGAAGCGAAACCGCGGTACCTATAGTATTGCAGTGTTATTGGAGTTGTTTTGCAATAACACTCCAATAAACGCATCTTCGCCATTTTTTAGGTGGGCCCAGTCAGATACACGTAACAAGATTTTATTAGGGTCCGGACGCAGAGCTACATCCGAACTCCGTATGAAAAAGTTTTCCCAAAATCCATAGTACTTTTTAAGATGTGAACATAAATTTATCTACTTAGCTCATACAAGCATCTTACCTACCATCATGTATCTAAATTCCATAAACTTATTAACTAGCATTGATACCGGAACTAGTTGGGATGTGGTGTAATACAAAAAAAAAATAAATATAAAAATAGTGATACAAAACGGCTCAAACAAAAGAGAAATACAATAATAGATGAATCCCTAGCTAGAGCTATATGAAGAGATTCAAAGGCGGTAGCGGCGTCGGCAAGGTAAGCGACTCTTGGGTAGGTAGGGGATAGTGTATGGTGAGATCGTGGAGGAAGTGGGGGTGGCGGTAGAGTGATGGAGGAATGTGGGGGTGGTAGGCAGCTATGGGAGTGGTAGGAAAAAGGGCACGGTGAGTAGTAGCAATGGAGTTTAAAGTTTACAAAACCACCTCGAAGCAGGACACAACCAAAGCACCACTTGCCGTCGGTTACTGCCCTAACAAGTGGGAAGAGACTCCACATAGGAGATTAGAAGACAACTCTAGTAGAATAGTCTCCCACACAGTCAGGGCACAATTGTTTATAGCCTCCTACTTATACACAAAAGGAAAGGGTGGAAACGACAATAAAAATCCATAACACTTCTCAGAAAAGATTTGGTGCGAATAGGTCAACTGTATCGCGAAAATTCGCGATCCCTCCACCCTACGTGAGTTCTCCCGCCTTCGCGAGATAGCGGGTCCCCGCCCGCTTCGCGTAGTTTAGTTGGGCTTTGGCCCCAGTGGATTCAAAGTGCCCCCCATCGTGGAGCTGTTCTGCGCCCAAAATCGAGCGTCGTTCCAAGTGTCGAATTTGTTTGTCGGCGACGTTGAACGTTGTTGAAATGTTGTAGCCCCAGGCAGGTCGATCTTATAAGCATTGTTGTTCAGCTTCTCAAGTATTCTAAAAGGTTCATTTGCTCTCAGCTTAAGATGTACGAATGATCCTGTGGGAAATCTCTCCTTTTCAACCGAATCTATATGAGGTCACCTTCATGAAACGTTACTTTCTTTTTGGATTTATTTGTCTGTGCCAGGTATTTTTTATTCTGCTTAGTATTTCCTTGCCAACTTCTTTGTGGAGCTTCTGGATCTCGTGAACTTGTTTTGTTGCATCCTTGTTGATTTTTGAAGTGGCAGAAGCGGTACCAATTCAAGTGGCGTGATCGAATTGTGCTCGTACAAAATCTCTAAGGGAATTTGCCCTGTAGTTTGGTTGATGGATCGGTTATAGGTGCACTCAGCTAGGGCAAGGATGAGATCTCACTACTTTATTTTTTTTTCCCACGAAACAACTTAGGAGATTACTGAGGCTCCGGTTTACTACCTTTGTTTATCCGTCTGTTTGTGGATGTGTTGTCGAGCTGAATTGGAGTTTGATGTCGAGCTTTCCCCATAGTGTCCTCTAGAAGTGGTTTTGACGTCTCTGTCGGAGGTGATGGCTTTGGGAATCTCATGCAACCTTACAATCTCCCTGAAGTATAAATTGGTTGTGTGTGAGGCATCTAGTGTCGGGTGACAGGGTACAAAGTGGGCCATCTTGGAAAATCTGCCTATTATAACCATTATGAAATCCTTATTCCTTCGAGTCTTCGGAAGTTTTAGCACGAAATTGCGGTACCTTTGGTACTGGAAGTGGTGTATAATCTGGCATTCTGAGTTGTTATCTAGGCCAGATGACAAATCCTGCAATGCTTGAATGGTCATTTTACATCTCTTTAGTTTTAACCAAAAAAAATTTTTTCTCTTACGAGGGCGAGGGTTTTGTCTCTGCCAAAATGTCCTATTAGACCTTTGCCGTGGTTTTCTTGGATAATGGCCTCTTAGAGAACACCGAGGAATGCGCAACAGACTCTGATGGAATAGGTATCCATTTGTGCGGCAATATGGCCCTGTTGGTTTCTCCTGACATTGTTCTCATATGTTTTTGAAATCTTCATCTGTTTCATATAGATTCTTTATGGCCACGAAGCAAACAACTCGAGCCTGTATGAATGTGATCAATAAGTGTCAACGACTTAGTGCATCTGCTACTTGGTTCTGGTTTCCCTCCTTTTGTGTTTTAGTTCAAACTGGAATGAGGCTAGAAATTCCACCCAGGTGGTGTGTCGCCCCTTTAGTTTTGTTCTGGATATTAAGAATTTTTAGGGTGTCATGATCTGTAAATACTGTAAACTCGTTTGTCAACAGGTAATGACTCCATTGTTCTAGAGCTCTAACGATGACATATAATTCCTCGTTGTAAGTTAAGTATTTCGTCCGGATTCATTCAATTTCTCACTAAAGAAAGCGGTAGGGTGTCCTCCCTGGCTTAGTACTGCTCCAATCCACATGCCAGAGGCATCACATTTTACCTCGAAAAGTTAGTTGAAGACAGGTAGTGCTGCCACAGGTGCTTGAGTTACCTTTTCTTTCAGTGTGTCAAAACTGTCTTAGGCTGCTACTATCTAAGTAAATTCTTCCCTTCTAAAAGTTTAGTTAGAGAAGAGGTGATAATGTTGATATTTGTAATAAATCTTCTATAGAAAGATACCGGTCCCAGGAATTGCCTTAGCTCGGTGAATGGTTGTAGTACGACCCAACTGATAATAACATCTATCTTTACGCGATTCATCTGAATTCCTGCACTAGACACAATGTAACCTAGAAAGCACACCTTGCTTGTCATGAAGTAACATTTCTTCGGATGGACACATAGTTGCTCGACTTGTAGTGCCTCGAACACTGCATTCAGATGATGCAAGTAGTCTTCCCCCGACTGGTTGTATATAAGAATGTCGTCAAAATAGACAATGAAAAACTTTCCAATGTGAGATCGGAATACCTAATTCATTAATCTCACGAAAATGCTAGGTGATTTTGACAGACCGAAAGGCAACTATCCACTCATAAAGTCGATCATGCGCCTTGAAGGCGGTCTTCCACTCGTCTTCTAGTCTCATCTGTATCTAGTGATATCCGTTGTGTCAGTCTAGCTTGGAGAAGATAGTGACTCCATTTACTTGGTCTAAGAGATCATCCAAGCGGAGTATAAGAAATCGGTACTTGATGGTAATCTTGTTGATGGGTCAGCTGTTGATGCACACTCTCCATGATCCATTCTTCTTTGGCACCATCAGGGCCAGGACTGCACACAGGCCGATGTTTTCTCTGACTAGCTCCATTGCAATGAGGTCTTGCACTTGTCGTTCTAGTTCTTCATACTCCGCAGGTCTTAATATGTAGGCTGGTCAGCTTGGCAATACAAATCCTGGTATAAAGTCGATGGCGTTTTGAATGTCCCTTAGTCATGGTAGTTCCTTTGGTAAGTTGTCGGTCATAACATTCTGAAAGTCCTGTATCAATGGTTGCAGTAGTGCTGGTACCTCTTTCTTCCTCGCTTCTTTCGAGGACTAATGCTATTGTTAGAGGGGCAAGTCTAACCGCCTACAAGAAACTGCTGCGAGGAACTAATGTTGTCTTTGTATTACCCCCATCTTTAGCAGGCAGTAAAACTATATGTTTCCCAACCTTCTGGAAAGAATAAGTATTTTTGAACTCGTGGTGTTGAGTCTTGTGACCAAACTATCAAGGCCTGCTAACAGAATGAGGCAGGCATTCATAAGAAAGGAGGGAAGCCAGAGCGTGAAGTATGAAGAACTAACACCTACGTTATGATATCTATCATAACTTTTTTACCATAGCGTGGACATCATGTTCTTGCAGCTTCCACTACCTATGATTAGGCTGCAGACCTTCTCCTTGATGGTGCACTTGGTGCGAAAAATGTAATGTCTTAGCAAAGATTGGTCCCGCTCGGGCTCGAACTGTAGTATTCGTCGCACGACTAGTGCTTCGCCTTCGTCTCCGTGGAGTTGAAGCTCTTCTTTAGACTCTTATTCCTCATAGACTTCCTCGACGACGCCTTGATCCGTGGGTATGACGACTTATCTTGTTGGGCAGCTGGAAGCTATGTGACCGTAGTCGTGGCACCAGAAACACTTCCAGGCTGGCACTGTATTGGAGGAATTACCATTGTCTGGCTTCTTCCTGCCCTAATCTGCCCTATCACTCCCTTGTCCAATTTTGTTATTTCCTCCTGAGGTACCTTTGTCGGCTGTAACAGTTGCAGTTGACTGCTTAGTTGAAAGTCGTGATCTGAACGACAATTGTTGTTTACTTTGCTTCTGTTGTCTCTTCACATTCAGTGCTAGTGTTGACACATTCCTCAACGTCCAGTATGACTGTAATTGTACCACAATGCTAATGGAGGGTTTTAGGCCTCCGATATATCTGTCGATCATGTGCTCCTCTAGCTCTATTAGCTCGCACTTTAGCTGTAGGTGGTTGAACTAGGACGTGAACTCCTACACTGATAGGTCTTATTGCTGCAAGTAGTGGAGTTTTAGGAGCATGTCCTGGCGATACTACAGTGGAAGATATCTTTTTTTCATTGCCTACATTTTCTCCCACTTAGTTATCCTTTTACTTCCTTCTCCCCTCCTCTACCCTTGTAGATTCTCCCACCAAAAGGAGACATTCTTCTTTAGTTTAATTACAACTAGCTTGACTCGTTTGTCTTCCGATACTTCTTTCTACTTGAAGATTCATTCGACTGTTTGCAGCCAGTCATTAAACTCGTTGGGGTCCATGATTCCCTTGAACTCTGAGAGGTACATCTTGATGCCAAAGTCCCTCTGACCTCCATAAGGTGTCTCTTCTCTCGGCATCGTTTAATTTTGGATACCAAAATGGCGCGGTCGATACTCTTCGTTGTTGTGATCTTTCCTATGGAATATATTAAGATCCCCGTCTTTGTCTTCCCTACGACTCTCTCGATCACAGTCGAAGATAATTTCTTCCTGATTCCTGTTATTTAACTCGGCTAGTCTCTGTTGCAGACGACGAATTTCATATTGGATCTCTTCCCGAGCAAAGTCTGATGTATTTCTCCGTGGTGGCATAGCTAGAGTTGGGAATTGGAAAAAAAAAAGTTGATGGAGGTGAATTAGGTAGGGCAGATGCTGGGGAACCCTAGGATAGTACTAGAATTGAGCCCGACTCTGATACCAAATGATATCGAAACTAGTTGAGATGTGGTGTAATACAAAAAAGTAAACTATTATTAATATAAAAATAGTGATATAACATGACTCAAACAAAAGAGAAATACAATAATAGACGAATCCCTAGCTAGAGTTATAGGAAGAGAATCAATCGCAGTAACGGAGTCAGCGGGGTGAGCGGTCGTTGGGTAAGGAGTTGGTGTGTGGTTTGTTGTAGCTAGATTGGATGGCCAAATAGTGAAGAAAGTAGGGGTGACGGTAGACTGGTGGAGGAATGTGGTGGTGGTAGACAGCTAAGGGGGTGGTAGGGAAACGGGGTCGGTAAGCAATAGCGAAAAAGTTTGAAGTTTACAATACCTCAGAGCAGGATACACTCGAAGCAACACCTATCGTCGGTTGCAGCCCTAACAAGAAGAAAGGACTCCACACAGAAGATTAGAAGACAACTCTTGTAGAACTGCCTCCCACACACTCAGGGGATAGCTATTTATAGCCTCCTAATTCTACACGAGAAAAGGGAAGGAAAATTCAAGAAAAATCCAGAACACTCTTCCCAAAAAAAATTCAGTACGAATAGCTCAATTGGATCACAAGAATTCGCGATCCCTCCCCCAGCTGTGAGTCCCCACGTGTCCCTGCTCGCCTTAAGTAGTTTCGCGGGGCTTCGACCCCTGCGATTTCGAAGCACCCCCTTTCGGGGCGCTGCTTTCCACCCAATTCGGGTGTCATTCTAAGTGCCCGCATCAACCATCCTCTAACTAACACCTACGTTATGATAGCTATCATTATCTACCTAATAAAATAAATGATGCATTCGAGTTTATTGCTTACCACCTATAAATATTAAACAAAAAAATAGTTCAATTGTGTTGAAACATCACACAATTATAATCACACGATAGGAAGAGGGAGAGGGGAGAGGGGAGAGGATTTAAGTTTTCCACCACAGTAGGAAGTACTTTAATGAGAAGACAAAAAAGAGGAGAAACTCTAGCATAGGAGAAGGGTAGATGGTAACAGCCATAAAAACATCTCCATGTTCACCTCTCATTTGCACAATAGGTAATTGTGACCCCTCTCACTCATTGATTAAGAGAAATGGTACATTTAACTTTTTTTTCAATCTATATAAAAAAAAATCTTTATTATCGTTTTCTTCTAAAATTTAGTGGAATAATTGATCTATGAGGTCATCAACATATGTATGATCATTCTTCTTCTTCATTTGATTTTGTTCAAAATTTTATCACTATCCTAGAAATATCATGATGTCAAGATATGATTTTGAGGCCTAAAGCAAAGAAAATGCTTGCATCCCACAAGGTCGGCTGATTGAACAAGATATTAGTATTCATTCTACCCAAGTATGTCATCCCAAGAACAAAAAAACAAAATTATATGCTTTCTAACTGCACATTACCATAATAAAATGAAAAAACAAAATCCCAACCCTCATCTTGTGTATTAAGCTGCTCATTCAGAACAACAGCAAAAAGAATAGTTTTTGCAGGATCAATTTACTCGAGACTAAGCATTTACAGCTCAACTAAAATTTTATGATCATTGATCAGGACCTTACACATCAACAACTTAATCAGCAAGACTTTGAAAAAAAGATGTTTCATGTTCGATAAAATTTTCAGATTATTATATTCACAAATCCTTTGATAAATGAACACCGAAAATGCGCTACATTAATCGCTTGTTGAACTTGGATGGATGGTTGATGCAAAAAAAAAAAGAAAAAGATGAAAATACTAATACTAAGCTATTACAATTAAAACATATCTGGCAGCAGAAAATAACAGATTTATCAGTTTAAAGCACGAATAAAAGGTTTCAATCATAATAATAGAAAAATAACAGGACAAAAGTATAAGTAGAATCTAGAAGATTGGTAGATTACCCAAACAAAAGCCAGCATCAAAGAATAATCAAAGACTTTTGCTTCAAGCGGAGGGGAGACTGAAAAAAAACACCCAAGTATATACGTACTCATAGCTGGTAAAGATGTACTGACCTGTATAAAGTATTTTGTCCCATTTTTGTTCCAAAAGCGCAGTAGTTTCTGGAACAGACCCCTCAACAACTTTAATACAAGAGCTATCAATAAAACTGGGTAATATTCTAGCAAACAAAGCTGATGTGGATGGAGCAATTTCTGATGGCTTTAGGACAACAGCATTGCCCGCTGCAATAGCTCCTATGACTGGATCAATAGCTAGCACTATGAAGAAAGACAATCAATAAAGAAAAATTCACTATAGTCGCAGTAAAATAAAATGAATTTTATAAGTACATCAAGATACCTAAGAAATAAAACTGCCATGTAATAACTTTTTTTCAACTAAATTATATGCTTGAATAACTGTCAAATCCTATCCTAATCATGAACACAAAATGATGCCATTAGTATATCTTAGCAGAGCATAATTGCGATTCTCGACAGAAGAAATACAAGCTAATGAACAATTTTCTCATAAAAAGAACCTTATAGCAAAAGATTGGCAATTCCAAAATACGGAACCAATTAGAATAAATCAGAAAACAAGAAATTTTAAAGAATAATCAGCTCAGTATAATGTCATTTTGCTCCAAACAAATGATGGCGGGATGTACTTGTCACAACCTAACTCGTGTATTGGAATTAACTAAGATGGTTCAAATGATATGGCGGTATTAACTAAATTTTCTATCTTGTTTAATGATTTTAAGAAAATAAATTAAAGAGTAACTATACAACAACAACAAAGCCTTAATCCCACTACGTGGGGTCGGCTACATGAATCCTTTTTTCTCCATTGCGTCTTATTTAGTGTCATATTTTAATTTAGTTATAATAAATTACGATCATTTTTTATACAATAAGCCCAAGTCTGCCTTTCTTAACATAAGTTGAAATCTAAAACATCTAATCTCCTAATCGGATCATCAGATGGCCGACGTTTAATGTGATCAAACCATCTAAGACGACTCTCTCTAATTTTGCGCATCATTGGAGCTACACCAACCCTATCCCGGATATATTCAATTCGCAACCATATCCCGAATATATTCATTTAAAGAGTAACAATAAATTAATTCAAAAAGTTATAAATTTATCTTAGGTCAGGTTGTCCTGGTCTTCTGTAAATATTTCCTTTAAATGACAAATATTTTAATCATTTAATTAAACCTGAATTATTAGTTTAAAACAGCAACGAGCTAACCATAATCGGTGAATACTCATACTCTTAAACTATAATAGCACAATGAAAAGAGAATAATATTCTTGTCAATTTAAACTTTATGTAAATTGATCTAAGAGCATTTGAAGATTTGTATTATCTAATATGATCATTCAATGTAATTCTAAACATTCACCATCTTACTATATTATTTACACATCAATATCTTTTAAAACTGTATATAATCATCATAGAAGTAGGGGTGTAAACGAGCCGAACAAGAGCGAGTCATGCTCAGCCCGTGGTCCGCTCCGTTTTTATATGGGCTCCC